GGCACCGGTGTTGCGTAGTCCTCAAAGATATCTAAATGTATAAAGTATTTTTAAGTTCATATATTTATATTTTACTCCATTGCAGAGATAAATGAAACTCACCAAATTTTAATCTCAAGTATTCATGTGGATCAGTCTCCCACAGCTCTTGATCAGCATCGGTAAAAGACATAATTGGAAATATTACATCTTGTACTATAGCGACCATGTGAGGCTTTATTAATTTCCAGGAATATGAGTGACTCACACTGTTGAACATTTTAAAACATATTCTTAAATTAATGGTATCTGCCCGACTTTAATTTTACTTACGCATTTTTTAAGTAAGCCAAAATATCAGTTAGAACCCTAGGTGAGACGTAAATGTGATTTCGATACTGGTCTAAAATCTTTAACAGTACTTCCAAAATGCCTGATGTAAACGTAGGAAGATACCATTCTGCAAATTTCTGATACTTTTCACTTACAACATTACGCGGGCTGCCATAGCTATAAATTTTTGAATTAGTTAGCAACATACTAAAACAAGCTTTAACTTCGAATAGCATACCGTTCAAACATGCGTACTATTATATGTAAGGCCCATTTCTTTACTTTCCACCATGGAAATTCTGGTTTTTCCTCATCATCAATATGTGAGCAGTCTGGTATTGGCCTTTCAGCGATTTGCCGGCAAATTTCCATCCACAGCGAAAACGTCTCTTTTGTTATAAGATCCAATGGCAGTGTGTACTGGGTTAAGGCGTAGTAAATTTTTAAAATTTGCTTTTGAAGCAACATCGATTGTTCCGATTGATCATTCATTAAGTTAACCATCAGTTGGTAAATCATTGGAAGAAGAAGATTCATTGCTTCATTTAGAGGAACACGCTCTTCTGAGCGCTTGTATTCATATGTCTTTACTAATTGATACATAGTCAGGAGCGCGCCATTCCAGCCATTGACATCTAAATAATTTAAACATGTTTTATTGTACTAATTATACTAGTCATATTATTACAAATTAAGTGTACTCCTGTAGATGTGTATGGTACAGTAATTTAAAATAATTTTACCTGGATTTTGTAGATAAATGCTGATGTTGTCCACTACTTGTGGCCAGCGCCCAGGAAAATCACTTCTGATAATGTGATTTACGCATACTGCTAGCTGAACCCTAAAAATAACAGAATTGTTGATAACAGACATCAAAGGAGATTGCAAATTGAAACAAACTTTATTATATCTGGAGCATGTACAATCGCATCCACAATTGATCCGCGTATCATAGCACGATCTTGTTCATGAATTGAGAAAGGTATTGGCTCGCCTGCTTTGGTCTCATGATCAGACCAACTGTTCGTAATTAGATTTTTTAGATAAATCGCCCCTGCTTGACGAACTGGTTGATCAACATTGCTTTGCATAACAATTTGTAATATTGTTGGAACAAATCCAATTATCTTGTGAATCTGTGGAAAAGTGGATTGGAATAAAATTAATAAAAACATGCTAAAAGATATGTGTATGAATAGTTGTACATAATCTAAAATTATAAACATTGGG